AGGAGGGGAGAGGGCGCATATGTGAGACCCAGTCCTTGACCCCATGAGGAGGCATTGGGAGAAACAAGCTGCTCCATTGGAGGGGTTTTCCCATTCACAACATCTTGCTCTCCTGCAGCAAGAGGCACCCTGAGGGTGGAGTCAGAAGCTTTATTGAAAGGAAGGAACTGAAGGGAAGTTTCCAGTTTGGGTCCAGCTCTTTACATGAGCAGAGGCTTCTCTTTTCAGCTCTGGTGGAAAGCGGTTCAGAGCTCAAACTGTTCTGTTATCTGTGGAGTCTCAAGAAAACTGCATTTCAAAGCATTGTTTTGAGTTTTGGAACCAGAGCGAAGGAGGGACGCTTACAACAGGCTGATCTGCAGCTTATATGTAATAATAGTCTAATGATTTAAATTTAGTGAGTGTACTCCTTTAAATGATGGTAACTTTCAGAGGAGCAGATGGGGATAAAATACTGAGTGAGGTGATTGACCAGCAACTGATAGTGCTTGGGCAGAACTTGGGAGTGTGTGAGAGGAGAAGAAAACAGTCTGTCCAAGAGCATGGTAGTCTGTCAGCAGTTAGTCACTTGTGGACTGAGAGAAGTTAACAGTCAGTTGTGGGTCTGTCAGCAGTTACAGTCAAGTGTCTGCTGTGAGAAGTTAACAGGCAGAGTTGTGGTTTGTCAGAAGTCTACAGAATCTGAAGATGCAGCCTTCTCATCAGAGTGCTGTGAAAAACATTTAAGATTCTGAAGAAGGAGTAGAATACTCAGAGAGCATTTTATTTATTTATTTATTTATTTATTTATTTATTTATAACATTTCTATGCCGCCCCCATTGCAACAAAGCCTCAGGGCGGCTCACAAAAAATACAAAATATTAGTGATTAGGGAGAGTGTGTGAGAGAAGGTGACAGAAACCTGAGTGCAGGAGGGAAATGAGGATTATGTGTGAGGATTGTGAAGGGAAAGAGTGAGATACCTCAGTTAGAAATTACTATTATGCATTGTTTTATTTAGCAAGGATATAAGTTACTGTACATCTTGAAGCCAGTCTGCTTATTGTACAAATAAAGTTTTATTTTGTATATTTTTAACTCAAAGTCTGTTAACTCATAGGCTGTTTGATAATCAGTGTCTCATCCTCAGGACTACATAGTCCAATGAAGTAGCTTACAGTTTGGGGACAATACTGTGGGAAAGGTTAAGTGCAACAGTTGGAAATAAAATTCCTGGTGGCAGCAGTAGATATCAAGAGAGTTAAAGACAGACCACATCCATGCAAGGGAAGGAGTGCATTTCTGACAAATGGCCTGTATCAACATGCTGAATATGGAGCAACCATAAGCAGAGTCAAGATCTTCCTAAAAAGATAGTGCCTTAAAATTGTGTTAGCACTTGAAGAATTGGAAATAATGGGGTTGGTTGCATGTAGGCGCATGGATTGATTTGGGCTAGTCACATGTCTGTCACATGCCACTATGTGTGAGCAAGATCACTGAGTGTTAAAAAACAAGAAAAGGCCTGTTTGAAACAGAAGTCAGTACCCCATCTTTTAGCAGTTTCAGCTTTCATGCTCCTAGTCCTTCTCCATGTTTGGTTTTTAGAGCTGATTCCAGAGGATTTGAAAATTGTGTAAAATTTCCTGACTTAAGCCACTTAAATAGCATCTGTTTTCTGAAATTAAAGGGACCCATTGTATTACTACCTCTAACTTCTACTTTATATTTAATTTCAAGCAGCTTTCACTGGTTAATTAAAAACATTATTGGACAAAGAAAAATCCCCATCAGGAACTTACAAATTATGTTCAGCATTGGTGGTGCTGTGACCAAGCTATGCCTATCTCCAAATTAAAATAGCTGATGTTTAAAATCATGGCTAAAGAATGCTGGCTGTTTGGGAAAATAGCAGAGTCAGCTTCTGTTGTCTCACGAATCACAGCTGTAATGTGCAGACCTAAGAGGTTTAGAGCATGTACTGCTTCATGGTCTTGCTGCAAATAGAAATATTTTTTTTTTCATTTTCTATCAGAAATCATTTTAAGGGTCCTTAAAATTAAGATAAGTGGGCATCTTACAAGGATCTCAAATAAGCATCTTCACTGTGATATAAAATTACTATTATTTATTAAGCACTGTGTACTGTACAAAGATGCAGCAGAAATCTCTGCCTGTGAGATTATGATCTTAAATGTTCCAAGTGAAAGAAAGGGAAAAATGTACCGCAATATTCTTCTTTTAATGCTGGCTAGAAAGTGGTGGGAGTTGTAGGACTTTCTCCTGTCTGAACATGCATACGATTACATAATCATAGAATCATAGAAGAGTAGAGTTGGAAGGGGCCAGAGGGGCATTGAGACCAGCCCCTGCTGTTGCAGGACACTTAGTTACACTATCCCAGTCAATTGACGGTCCAGACACTTTTTGAATGTCTCTAGTGACGGAGAGCCCACAACTCCCCCAGGTAATAGGTTCCATTGTTGTACTGCTCTGGCAGTGAGGAAAATCTTCCTGGTGTCTAGTGTAAATCTGGTTTCTTTTAGCTTTAATTCAATTATTCCCTGTCCTGTGCGCTGGAATGAACAAGAAGATGTCTTGACATTTCTCTTCATGATAACCTTTCAGGTACTTGTAGAGTGCTGCCATATCACCCCTTACTCTTCTCTTCTTGAGGCTGAACATGCTAGTTCTCTCAATCTTTCTTCATAGGGCTTTGTCTCCAGTCCCTGAAACATCTTTGTTGCCCTTCTGTGAAGTACTGCGCTTATGAGTATCTGTGTCTTTTAAAAATTTTGGTGCCCAGAACTGGACACAGTACTCTTACGTGAGATCTGACTAATGCTGAGTAAAGGGTCAAAGGTCATCAAAGGTCTTCAGCTGGTTCACAGTGCCAGGGCTTTTGTATGATGCACTTAATATCTGTGATAGTCTAGTCACAGGAATTTGGTTTTTGTTCAATATAATTTTGAATTTTAGTGTTAAATCTGACAAGTCTCAAGTGCGTGTGTACGTATTCCTGCTTATTTCTGCCACTTAGCTCAAAATGTGAATGTAACAATGGAATTGAGCTCCATGATGCTTATTTGAACATGAAAATTCCATTTTTTAAATTTATTTAAAAATTTGTATGCCGTCCATTACTGTTATCTCTGGACAGCTTACAACATTATTTCAAACTTCAATAAAATAAGATAAATTAACTATTCCACACTGAGCATCATTTGAAATAAATAAGTCATTTACAATTAAGATTACTATGTGTTAAAATATTGGCCAAATAAAAAGGTCTTGACCTGGTGCCGAAAAACATATAATGATGGCACCAGGCGGACCTCTCTAGGGAGCGCATTCCATAGTTGGGGCGCCACTGCAGAGAAGGCCCTCCTCCTAGTGCTCTGTCTCCTGACCTCTTTCAAAGAGGGTTCCTGGAGGAGGGCCTTTTCAATTTGTAGCCCTTTTCAATCTGAACATCAGTCCTGAGAACAGAGGAATCCTGCCTTCAAACAAACATGGAACTACCTAGTTCCCTTCTTATTTTCTCCAAAGAAGGGCATATATGGAAGTATTCCCCAAATTTCTATGGTTTGAGATTTTCTCTGTTGAGTAAAGGCTGATCTGGGCTTCTGTTTCTCTTTAATGAAGGCAATGGTTAGCATGCAACCTTAGCCTAGATAGGTATTTACATCTTGAAATATATACAAGGAGATTGGAGAGATTGAAATGCTCTTTTTAATGTAATCTTTTGGAAAAACAATTTTTTATGTAGGTATGTATGTATGTTTGTTTGTTTATAAAATTTGGATGCCATCCATTACTTCCATCTCTGGACAGCTTACAACATTAATCAGAATAAAATTAATTAATTATTCCATGCTGGGTGAAAATCCAATAAAATGCAAACAATAAAATCCAATATAAATTTATAATATAAATTTATTATATTTCTGTTCTTTTTCCCCCTCACAAGTAATGCAAGATGGTTCACATAATCATCCTCTTCCTTTCCATTTTATTCTTACAAGAACCCTGCGAGGTAGGTTAGGCTGAAAGTCAGTGACTAGGCTAAAGCCACCAAGTAAGTTTTATGACTAAGTGGGGACTAGAACCTGGATCTCCTGAGTTCTACTTGAGCACTCTGACCATTGCACCACATATTGTTAGAAACTCTGGGTGGCTTTCTTTCTGTGTTGGCTAGTAATTGGTAAAGCAGCCTGCCTTAATTCTTTGAATAGGCATAAGAAGAAGCTTACGCTCTACCTAGTCCAGCTTTATATGCCCACAGAGGTCAACCATGAGAACCCATGAGAAATCTGCAAGAGGATGTGAGCATAATAGCACTCTCCTGCTCAAGTTCCCTGGCAAGGTGGTATTCAAGAACCATGCTGCTTCTGATACTGGAGCTATTTTGCCAGATTAATCGCCAATCTTCCACAATTCTCCCTAATCTCTTTTAAAGCCATCCAAATCAGTGTACCTCTTGTAGTGAATTCCATAATTTAATTATGCATAGTGGCAGTAAGTACTTCATTTTATCTGTCCTGAATCTGCAACCAGTCAGCTTCATGAGATGATCTGATCCTTTAGTACTATGAGAGATTAAGAAATGCTTCTCCATATCCACTTTCTTTACATTATGCATAATTTTATACACTTCTCTTATGATCTCCTTTTTTCTACGATGAAGAGCATCAAGTGTTGTAAAACTTAGAGCTCCAAAAGTTGTAGTGTTTAATACAATGTTGTAAGCATGCAGAAGAGGTGTAAGGATCACCCATATGAGACTACCCAGTAGCTTCATGCATCATCTAACACTTCACTCTTGGTTGCCTGCTGCCATAGCCATAGAGGTAGAGACATATATACCAGATATATGTTGCGTAATTAATGTTCATACGTTGTTATATGTTTATCCTCTTGGATTGTGTTAACTGCCTTGAGAGCTTGTTAACACAATCCAAGAGGGATATAGAGCAATGGTTTATTTGAGGTTTTTTCTTTTCTTTTTTTTCCCTTAAAGGTATCTCCGGCTCTATGGGAGAAAGTTTAGCAAAGAAGATCATGTCCTTTTTATCAAGCTCATGTATGAGCTAGTAACTATTCCAAAGTTGGAGATCAGCATGATGCAAGGTTTTGCACGTCTTTTGATAAACCTGTTGAAGTAAGTTTGTTTGTTTGTTTGTTTATTTATTAAAACATTTTTATGCCGCCCCATTCGCCGAAGCCTCGGGGCGGCTTACAACAATAAGTTAAAAAATAATTATAACATTAAATTAAAAAATATAAACATTAAGTTAAAAATACAAAAAATACCAATATAAAAAAAGTTACTTGTTGTATTGCTGTTATGAAATGGAAGTAATTTCTGTGCTTTGGAAGAATAACATGGAAAAAAGGATTTCACTTGATGTTGAAGATACACCTTGCTAGCATTAAAAAATTAAACAATTAATTTGTCTTTAGTAGAACTCTTGTTTCTGACACCCTGCTGGGCTCCTAAGGTGTCATTGGTGTAAGGGACAAGTCTTTCTGCCTTCTCTAAGACTGGCAAAAGCCTGGTTTATTCCTGCAGTTGTAAAGTCGTACAGCTTCAAAATCCATTTTAAATCCAGCTGAGGTCCAAGAGTAGTCACTGCTCCTCTGTCATTTATGGACTCCACACAGATACACTTGCCAGGTTAATTATGTATGTTTATTGCTGGCAAGTACAGTTGTGCGCTTCTGAAAATAAATTTTAGAGGGCAGCTTGCTGAGTAAGAGTCCATGTCAATGAGCCTGCCTGGCCTAGTTTTAATGTATCACTGGCCATATCTCAGCCAATGTAAAAAGAGCAGGCATGAACTGTGGAACTGTACACCTCTTTTCCTACACTCTGTGAATTCTACCTTCCTTTTCCTGTGAGTTGCAGCCATGAGTAAGCATTCTTTCATGTTTTCTTTTAACCAGTATTTGCAAACTTGCTTCAAACCTGGTTTAAAATCTTTATTAAGAGTGACTTTTGGTTGGTCCTAACTGTCCTGTTGTCATGCATCTGCTTTGTTGGCATGTTAATAGGTCACCTATTCCAAATCTCATGCCTTCTAGAGGTTTGGAACCAGTATTCCTCTGGTCCCTGACTGTTGACTATACAGGTGGAAGCTGATGGAGGTTGTAATCCTGGAGGGTGCCAAGTTGGAGAAGGTCGTTTTAGGCTATCTGTAAACTATGTGAGAGAGGAGATGACTAAGTAGAAGGATCAGTCACATATGAATGGCGCATCCCAGTGTGAGTGATGACTAAACTGTCTTTTTTCCCCTTCTAATTTAGGAAAAAAGAACTTCTTTCAAGGGATGACTTAGAATTACCCTGGAGGCCGCTTTATGAAATGTTGGAGCGAATATTATACTCTAAGACTGAACATCTTGGATTAAATTGGTTTCCAAAGTAAGACTTTTTAAAAGGGGTTTTAACATTGTGAAATATATGTTTACCTTTTTGTTTGTTCGATACTAACAGTGGGCTCAGGCCTCAAGGACATGTAGAACAAATCAAAGACAGAATTTGTTCATAGGGTCATCTTTTGTAGTGCAGCTTATAGGAACTCAGCATTTAAGCCTGGACATTTAAATTAGCTCTACAAATAGTACTTTACCTTCAGTTCACTAATTTGTCAGATTTGATTATGCTGCATGTAAATATCTTGTTTTTTTGGTAATCTGAATTTAGAATAACAAGATTTAGATATTTATCTTTGCAGTGGGTGTTCATCACCTTCTCTTAATCATATGCCTTTTCTGCTTCACAAGGAAGCAACATGATTCCATATCATTAGATGAAAGATCTAGCTTGTCTAGATGAAGGATCTATCTAGTATTATTCGATATTTCAATAAAACCTGGCTATTTGCAAGTAGAAAGCAATGCAGGCCTCATTCAGGCATTAATGTAAGGGCTAAAAGTGCAGAAGGGATACGGAGGGGCCTCCAGGATGTTTCTACGCATAGTCACTAGAATGCAGGTAGAAGCCTCTGTGTGGTCGGTAGCCTTCGTAAAGCAGGGCTTCTGATTACATTGAATGCTCTCTGATTGCAGGTAGGGCCCCTCTTCATACTTCCCTGCACAGTGAAAGAAGGCTGGGAACTCTGGAGGCAGGGCTTGCATGTATGCCCTCTGCCTGCAAAGGGCCATAGCCACCCACCTCTGGGGATTAGCGCTATGTTAGAGAGAAGAAATAGCTTAGATTTGCTTTGCATGTATAATGACCAAGTTTCAATCCATCATATCTTAACAAAATGCTTCATAGTTTGAAAGGCTGGGAAAGGCCTCTTTCCCTCAACATTGGGAGAGCTGTTATCAGTTAGAATAGAAAGTACCAGGATAGGTGGACTATTGATCTGACCTGGTGGCTTAAAAACTGATAGGTTGCTGGGGACATGCAGGTGTGCTGCCTTCTCTCTCCCACTTGTGCATGACAGCCAGTTGGTAGAGTGTATTCAACCACAAGAAGAAAACACTTTTCTCAGCTTCACATTATATGGATGGAACAACAGGCCAGTGATGTAGCATGAGCTCTGTTCACAGAAGGTTCCCACGTTCAGTAATTGACACTTCCAGTTAAAGAGTTTCAGGGCCTGTGTTTCGGACAAATAACTTTTCCAGCTTGCTGGTTGAGAATGTTCGAGAAGAGTGCAAATTTCCAAGCATGCTCTTAATTCTGAGCTGTGCCCCTCCATCAGTTTAATCCTTTAGAGATCAATGTGGAAGCTTGGGTTCATGTGTCCCGTAGGACTCCTAGATTAATAACAGATTCCCATGCAATAGTACACACCACTAAAAGTTGTGCGTATCAGCATGTGCAAGTACATCAGGCAGTTTGGGGGAGTTGCTTTTTATCAAGCGGGGATCCAGGAAGGTATGAGGTGTGGCCAAGCTGTGTTAGGCCTGTTAAACACATTGCACAGTGGTTAATAAGCTACAGTGGCCTACTAAGCATCCTGTGTGTACCATTTGAATGATAGCCAGATTTGCATAATTGCTTTCCCTGGCTTTGCTTGTGATGTTCAGACCTGGAGAGGGTGGTTGGTTGGGGTAGTTACCAAAGACCTAGAACTGATTGGCTGTTTTTGGGTTGGTGGGTGGTTTGTTAATCACCCCAACCAGCCACATTCACCAGGTTTACACACCAGAAAGAGGCTACTGTATAAATTGCAAATTGTAAAGAGGCCTGTGGGAGAGCCCCTCTCCAGCAAAGTTTATATTTTTAGGGGTGTCTAATCTACGATTTAAAAAATTGTGCAGTGCGACCATTTCTTGATGTTTTGGCAATGTTGTTTGCATAATATATTTCACCATTGTTCCTTTTGCTGGACTGAGAAGGATGAATTAAAGATCAAAAAATATGAATGGAGTGATCTGATTTGCATGCAGCAAGCAACCCAGAGTTTGCTAACTGTGGCTTGTTTGGCAGAATACTAGAATGGGTATCTTGGCTCTTGGCTGTTTGCCTGCTTTCACCTTGTTTGCCAAGGCAGGGACATTTAGTCCTTGGCTTCTTGTCCATGACATGTTAAACTGATACTCTGGGTTGTTGAGGGAGAAACAACCAAGAGTTTTAACATATGGTTTGTCTTCCAGGATGGTTTCTTTTTCAATAACTCAGATTTTTTGGTACATATCTCCTGGACAGCGAAGAAAATGGGAGCAAACAGTTGAGTGGTCAAGAGCCAGCACTCTTGCTCATTCCCATATCCTTCCGAACAAACCACAGTTTGTTAACCATAGACTGTTACTTTGGGTGTGAATTGGGTCCTTGTGTTTTTAGGGTCATTTTGTCTACAATTCTAGCATTTTCTTTTTCATTGTTTTGCTTTTAAAACTTTCTTTTTTACGTTCAGTTCATGTCGACCAGGCTTGTCTTCACCTAAAACATTTGTGCTTAATGTTTTACATAGGTGGTAAGGACATTTTATTTTTGGTCTTTGTTTAGCTCTGGCCGAAGTGTTAACTTCTTGCATGTTCTGTCCTGCTGTAACACTTGTCACAAACACGTAACTTTTCTGCATATAAGACTGAAAAATCCAATAACATTACACCATAGTTTATGGGAATGTCGCACTGTATCTTGACCTAATTGTGAGAAAATATATTGTGTGTGAAGTGGCTGAAGCATATGGCTCTCTGCTAATATCTGTTAACAAATAAATATATTATTTAAAATAGCAAAGTGAATGTAATGCCCTAATTGTTAGGCATAATTTGCACAACACTGTAATAATGCATGAATTTAACTTGTTACAGAGGTTGATATAGTAGCTAAGGAGAAAGGATAAGGAATAGTTAGTTGAATTTTTAAAATAAACTTGAATGTGAGACTTGGACTACAATTTTGTGCACTGGAGTAAATTGCATTTTGTTTAATAGCATTTACTTCCTAGTAAATGTGTTTAGGGTTTCAAACTTTTATATAAATATTTGCTATTGCTGGAAAAATTCTGCCTATATTAGCAACCATTTTTGAAAAGCAAAGTTTAAGTTAATTATTGAAAAAGAAGAAAAGTTGTTGCAAAAGCCTTTGATCAAATAGAAAGCCTTTGTTTCATTCATCACATTTCCATATCATCTAATGTCCAAAGTTCTCTCAATGTTTCACAACAACTGAAAATAATGTATAATATATAATACACTATAAAAGCTTAACATTACAGTATAAAATACATGTAAAACCCAAAGCAAAACCTAGCAGCAGTACAAGCACTTTAAATACAGCTAAGGATTTAAAACAAGCAAGCTGAGACCCTAAAATTCCTAGCTTTAAACCAATCATTTATAAAGCCCTACAGTTTCTAAGCATTGCACAATCAAACAACTATACCATCAGAGGCATGTCGAAACCTAATTATCAAATGTAGCCTTTGTCCTGTCTTCCTTTGATAGGTCTTTCAAGGTGGCTTTACTGGACAGCAGAACTTTGTACAGACCAGCACTCAGCATGAGTACTGTCAAGAGCCGGCGCTGTGTGGTGGCAAGTGTTAGCCTGGAACTGGGGGAGATACCAGTTCACATCCCCACTTAGTCAGAAGCTCAGTGAGTGACCTTGAGACCACACTCTGCCAGCCTAACCTGTTTGACAAGGTCATGGTGTAGGCCAAAGGGGCTGATGGGAGAGAAGGATGATGGAATAGCCTTGAACATCACTTTGGGCTTCATGGAGGAAGGACAGAATGAGAAGGGAGTGGATTTACTCAGCTAAGGCCCAATAGTATCCATATTCAGACCAAAAAAATTGTTATTTCCAAAAATCACTGAGCAACTTTGGGAATTACTTCTAAATTAACAATGTCATTTTCTCTCTTCTGCTCTGAAGCTGCAACTATTCAGTTTCATTGGGTGACTCCCAAGTTATTTTACTGCCTTTGTGCCCTAACCCTTTTCAAGAAGATTAAGGCAATGCTAGGTTTGGCTGAGGAAGTGACTAGGCTGGGGATTTAGACTGTGCTATCTCTGGGAGAAAACTTACTCTCCATGATCCAGAGAGCATAATGCTAATGGGGCAGCTTTTATATAAATCTAATAAATAATAGTAACAATGTTCCCTATACCATGCATATTTTTATAAGTGTATGTGATACTTGTCTTTCCTTTTAGGATTTTTTATGCTCCAGTTCTGTGTTTATTTTGTTTGCCCTTTGCTAGAACTTTTTTCCAATTCTACAGTAAACTTCCAGCACCATATCTCAGGTGCACTTGCACTGTAGATTGTATCCTAGACATCTTATTTTCATTCTATTTCCTAATAACCTCTAGCACAGAATTTGCTTTTTCCATTGCTGTTGCATGCCAAGTTGACTTTTGGAGAGCTATCTACCTAATCCTACATTCTTTTTTGCTTACAGTTCAGATTCCATCAAGTAAGGTATGGGATGCTAGGGTTCATATTTAATTATGCTGAACCTCACTTGCTACGTGGCACATTTGCATCTACTTCATGCCCTTTGTTGCCTACTTAAATTTTTACCATCATGTAATTTTTCATCATGACTACAAAACAATTCTGAATGTTAAACCATCTAAAGGAAGGCTTGCATCCATATATGCCCTCCCGCCCCTTGAAATTAGCAACAGATGCCCTTCTCCGGAAACCCTCTGTGAATGATATTAGGAGGGTGAGTACCTGGAGGAGGGCTTTCTCTGCAGTGGCGCCCCATCTATGGAATGCGTTCCCCAGAGAGTTCCGCCTGGCGCCGTCGTTATTTGTTTTTCGGTGCCAGGCTAAGACCTTTTTATTTAAAACTTATTTTAATTGTTAAATTATTTGAATTAATAGGATTTTAATTTTTTAGCCAAGATGCACCGGGGGCTTTTAAACCATTTTTTAAATTGTTATATTGTTATTATTTATGTATTTATGTACTTTGTATCCTGTTGTGAGCCACCTCGAGGCTTCATTGCGATGGGGGTGGCATAAAAATGTTATAAATAAATAAATAAATAGTTGCAGCCCTAGTACAGATTCCCACTGATTTTTTGCTTCCATTGGAAGAACTGTCTGTTTCCTCCATCTTCTGTTCTTACATTTATAGGAATACCTGTCAACTTATTCCATGACTGCAATGTTTGCTCAGAAATTTTTGTTAAAATCCTTTTAGAAGCCTGGTTATATAATATCTGTGGACCCATTCCTGCCCATATGGTTCTTGACATTCTTAAGAATCTTTCAAAGAACTGTACTTAACAAAAGATATTCTGATTTTCTTCAATAAGCTTTGTTCTGCTATACGTTTAATAATTCCAGCTTTAATAATGCTTTCCAGCAATTTACCCCCTCACAGACATTAGACTAACGAAGCTATGTTTTCAAACCCCAATCTATTTTTAAAAATTAGTGTTACTTTGGCTAGCTTCCAGTCCTCATGTAAAGAGGATAATGTTGCATATTTTTGTTAGAAAATCAAGAGTTTTAAATTTGAGTTCCTTAAGAACCTTTGCATGTATACTTCCTTGACTCTGGAGTTGTGGACTTTGTCAGTTTGCCCTTGAATTTCATTTCCTGCCATGAGGATTTAATTTGCTCAGCCTTTCTTTTTAAAGAAAAAATGGTTCAGGAATGGAAGACTGAGGCAAATAATTCCTTCAATCATTCTTTTAATATATTTTGCTGTCTAATGGGTTGAATATCTCCCTGGTAGTTTCCTGTTTCTGATGTATTTTTAAATGAACCTGTGTTGTTTTTCCTGTTTCACTAGTAGGTTCCCCAAGTTTTTCTGTTTCATTTTCTTTATGTCTACAATTGATTTGCTAGGAGTCTGTGGTTATCTTTATTTTCCTTGCAGATGTAAGGAAAAGTTTGTTTATATGCTGCTTTTTGTCCGTAAGCACCCAAGGCAGCATTTTGTTTGATTAAAAAGACAGTTTCATTTCGTTCGTTACATTTGTATGCTGCCCTGTAGTTGCATCATAATTAAGAAGACAGTGCCTAATTGAACTGGTATCTAGTATCTAGCTGGATTTTGTATCTCAAAAAGAGGAGGGAAGATAGCTAGTTGACAGCGAGTTAAAATTAGATCAAACTAATAATGTAAGGGACATCAATATTTACTGCTTTATGACATGGCAACTGTGAAACAGAAAGCATTGTGTGTTTTCCCCACACAATACCTTAAACAATAATAATTAATGTTTAGGGTAGTAACCAGTGGAGCTGATCTGCCTCTACTGGTCCTTCTGTACCCTTGGGACCCACTAATGCGACTTTGATTGTCTAAAAATATTCCCAGGAACAAGCAGGAATGCTAGTTACCAGACTGGGACAGGTCAGTGAGGTTGCCTTCTGTAAGCTCCACTCTCTTGTTCTACAAATGAGCCTACTACTCCCTTTTTGAGTCTCAGAGGACTTCACATATGTTATTTCAGTACTCTCTACAACTCAAGGCAGAGCTTCCCCTAGAAGCAAAAATGACAAAATTTAGGCTGTTATACTTTGGACACATCATGAGAAGGCAAGATTCCCTGGAGAAGACTGTCAAGCTAGGGAAAGTTGAAGGCAGAAGAAGAAAAGGAAGTCCAAATAAGAGATGGATTGAATCTATAAAGGAAGCTACAGCCTTGACTTTAGAATAGCTAACCAGGGAAGTCATGGGTAGGATATTTGGGAGAGCTTTCATTCATAGGGTCATTGTAAGTTGGAGAGGACTTGATGGCACATAACAATCTTGCAAGGTAGGTCAGTATTGTGTTGCAGATGACAACCAATGTGGTATGGTGGTTAAGAGGGCTAGGTAGAGGACCTGAAGGTTTTTTTTCCCTAGTCATCACTCAGTTGGGATGTTCACTGGATGACTTTGGGCCAGTCACAGTCTCTCAACGTAACCTACCTCAGAGGGCTGTTGCCAGGATAAAATGGAGAGGAGAAGAACCTTGTAAGCTGCCTTGGGTTCCTTGCAAAAGTAACACAGGTAGGGTATAAATGTAATATAATAACAATGATACTAATGAGGGGAGAGATAGTGGTTGCTTGGATTCTCCCCCAATTCCCCCACGTGCGGCAGGAACTAGATTTGAAATGGACCTCATGTTTTGTAGTGCTGTCTTTTATCTACTTAGGCTGCAACTGTTTTGCAATTTCTCAAGTTTTAAGGGATAAATATATATAGTACTTCTCCTTAGAGTTAAATTAATACTTGTATTTTGTAAAGTGAAGGAAGCAAGGCCATCCGCTGGATCTGGACTAAAATGTCAGCACACCTTTCTTGTGTCCTTTGTCAGTGTTTTACTGGACAAAAGTTGCTTTAATACTGGATCCTGAATGGTGAAATGCTCAGAATATTGGATTGGATGAATCCCTTATCTAGTTCCTTTGCTAATGAGCAGAATTGATTGATATAATTTAAAAATAACTAATGATACTCTCTTCATGCAGCAAAGAGCCTGGAACATGGCTCACTTTTTAGATCAAGAA